TCTTCAAAGAAATCACTTCCGGCCATTTGGAGTATGCATCGACGACGATAAAAATCCCGTTGATTGGCCCAGCCAAATCGATGTGCAGCCGAGACCATGGTGTCTCTGGTTTAGGCCATGGCGAAGTTGGTTGTCGAGCTTGAAGTTTTGGGAGAAGTTGCAACGATTCTTGGGCACAATTGCAGAGGCCAAGAGCCTCTTCGAACACATCAGCAAGATGTGCGATAACGTGGTGTGCCGTCTGAAACGGATAATACAGAGTTGCACACAGAATTGATGGGCACGTCTAGTAGCCCAATGATTCCAGCCAATCAATGCCAACTAGGTTGAGGTGGGTTTGTGTCACAAGCAGTCTCCGACAATAGATTTGTCATCGAAAGTGGCAGTGCAGGCTACTCTACCGAGTAGCTTCAGGGATCCACCGCAGGCACTGGTGGCGGTTTCAGTTGTCGGATGGAGAGTAGGACGACCCAAAGACTGCCATAGACGACGAGAGATGATGGTTAAGTCGGACGCCGGATGGTTGTTGATGTGCACAGACACAAATCGACGATGAGAGGCTGCGTCTACTTTGAACGTGGCAAGTAGGCTGCTGGTGAGGTTGCCCGATGGACGCGGACTTGATCGGCGGGCAGAAACCTTCTTTGTTACTCATTTTGTGACACTCTTGGCACCGATGTTGACGAAATGGGCAGAATCTGTGAAAGTGCCACGAGCCTCAACAGTGACACAGTGTGGGTGGTTTGCGTTTGTTGTCAGCGCTGGAGTGGTGGGATTTCGGAGAATCCGGGGACTTGCTGAAAGATATCATGTGTACATTTCTGGCGGTGTGCTCGGAATCTTGGACTAGGACAGAATCTTGTTTGAAGTTCAGAATTCTCTGGCACTCGGCGGTCAACGTTCGCAGGTTGGCGTTTAGATTCTGTTCGAAGGTATACTAAACATCAGTAGTGTGTCACCGGTAAACAGACGGTGTACAAAGGTAGTCGTTATGGCAGACATTTGACAATTAAAGAAAAGTAAGAAGGTTGAGAATAAGTGAGGAAACCTGAGGCTAAAAATGCCAATCATTGATTACGAAAATTGAAAATAGAACGAATTCCATTTGAATGTTTAAAAAGAGTTATTCTTTGAAACGTTATTGCACATGCTTTCATATTATTTTATAGAAAGAACAGTGAAGATGCTAGAAAACTCCAGTCTGACAAGCTTACGTAGGTCTGTTCCTAAATAATAGGGCAAAAATACGAAACATCCCTAGAACAATACGTGGCACAGTTATTTGCATTCTGTATCCACGATCCAAGCCATCTTTAGGTAACTTAAACGAACTTTATCAAATCTGAAAATGTATGTCGGTGTTTTTGCCTATAACAACGCCAAGAACTTTGAACACATGTTGCATCGGTCATTTAGATGGTTGTCACACTTTGAGTTGAAGGTCACCCGAACGGCAACCTGGATGATATAAGTTCGAATCCCGCAGACTATTTCCCGCATTACTTTATGTCAGCAGGTAGTCTTTGTTTATCGAAAAATCGTCTGTACATTTGTATATTCAACGAACAAAGAGGCAGCAAAAATGTTATTACTGTCATTTTAATTGTACTTTTTGTAGGTTTAAAACCTATACTTTAGATACACAGAAGAGAAAAAGTGAAGTCCCGAAACTTTTAATAAAATTTACGAAAACCTGTTCTTTTTTAAACTGAATACGTACCAAAGAGCGTACAATGGAGTTAAGATATATGTTTATTCGAGAGGGAACACAACGATATTGGGGTATAGTTAATGTGTGGGATCCATAAGAATCTTGAGTGAAAACTTTTTCCATGCATTCAAATGAGGCTCGTACAGGTTGGTTATCAACTATCCTAGCGGTATTGAAGAGACGCCGCTAGTAAATGTCAGACTACGTCGAAGTAGCTTAAAGTCGTTCTTTAGGAGAATGGAAAAACAAGTGAACAATAAAAACAAAACAAGGAAAACACAGTGGTATAAAAATTTGACGACAATTGACTGTTGAATATGAAATTGAAAAAGTTCACGGGTATGGAACGAAAGCCGTTGACCTTCAGTAATTGTGTTAAACGGGAGATGTTAAGTAGAGATTATCATCGATAAAAAAAACCGAGTATCTGATACAGCTTACTCGGGGTACTGGTTCAGAGCTAATCCACACCGGATTAGATGGGAAAGTCAAACGTAACAAAGTAAAGAAACATTCGAAACATTTAGAGGGATTTAATGAGAGGCCGGAAGTAGCCGAATATTGTTAAATTTAATCCAAATTATCAGCAAAACACGGGAATAATTGGCGATAGCCTGAAACAAAAGAACTAATAATTAAACAAAATGAATGAAAACAATCAAGACTATATCCTAAACTCCCTTAATCTTTACAACGTGCGTAAAAGACTACATTATGATTCTTATTCATTGAAAAATACCACTGCTCTGAACTTCAGTTTTACGAACAGTTTACTTTTACAGATAATGGATTCAAGAAGCTGTTTCTTTCGTTTGGCGTATTCTTCCCTTATTACATTTAGGTGCTTATTTTCTATCTCGTTACTTCTAATAGATCACGCAATTTGGGATGTTTAAAGATTTGTCAAATCACCGTTTGATAAGTTCATCAGGTAGTCATAGCCTGCAACTCGACCTTTTAAAATCTTCGGATCCGGGTAATTTTTTCATGAATTATGAAAGCAGGATAGAAGTTGATAAATAGTTAGTGCGTACAGGTTGACAAATAACATCAAAAATCTCGATGAGGCTTAAAGAATTTTTATATCTCCGTAGCCAACTTAAACCATGAAATTTAGGAAATCCACTGTCTTTGAATTACGTGATCGATGGTCAACAATTTGAGCGCATGGATACATTAATTAGAATGGAGTTTTTCTTCTGCACGACAAAATAATCTCAGGCAAACCCTGGTTTCAACCACTTGCTATGGTTTATATGTAATAAAATATCTCATTTGATTATATACATCTCGTCATCGATTTTCAGTTAATTGAAAATTACCCATTGTTGTCCTCCATTGACAGGAAACTTTAAGTGTATATACTTTCTTGTTTGTACCACGTTACTATAGTGCAAGATGAACAACAACTTCCTGTCTGACCTACCAAACTTTGTCCCATTTCAACTCATTAAAATCGGTTTGTGAACTCCTTCGTTCAAAATAAATACACATGTCAACTAAAATCAATGTCTCATTAATTTTCAGGACACACAATTGGATGTGTTTCGGAAAGATTTTTCGAGAATCATGTTTTATTAAACAGTTTCACAACTCCTTCAACCGTGGACTGTTTGAGGTCAGTTATACACTGACAGACGAACAACCTTCAAAATGTAATCCGCAATCTAGATCAGAGGGTAATGTAGCTTTTACAACCGAGAATGGCATGAAGCACTACACACTTTCTTGAATACAAATGAGAGTGAGGGCCAGCACATGAATTGAGAGGTAGAGTGATTCAGGAGAACAGAAATTGAGTTAAGAAAACAAAATTACTCATGACCCTTTTGAAAGCCTAAGATAAAGTCTACAACACGATCGATCACAAACAGACTGACCAGCTTCACGTATAACTTGCACTTCCTTCATCGTGAGAAACGCAATTTCTGACCTTCTCCGCCCCCTGCGGTTTCTCGCGGAATGACCGAATTCAATCGGTGGGTGGAAAATATGTGGAAAAGATATCACTAATACATTTGTAAAGAAAAAAAAACAGAAAATATGAAAGAATTTATATTGTCCAATTGTTGCGTTTAGATTACTAATTTACTGCACAGGAACGAGTAAAACAAGACGATTTATAAATTAATAGTTAGTAACGATAACTCTGAAGTTCCGTGCAATCTCGGGGAACTTTTCGTGCATCAAGAAACGAACTATTACACAGAAATCAGTGTGCGAATATGTTTCTGGTTTGTTGCGCCGGGAGTTACGCTCTCTACGCAATAAAAAATCATAAACTGACTGCCTGAAAATCCATATGGTGTGTTACCAGGTAATCAAGAGTAACCGTTGCTGAAGGACTGCTTAGATGGATGAAATTGAATTCCGATCTCTGAACATCACATCAACACGGATGATGTTGCTTCAAATGACAATCTGAAAACTAGATTTGAACTTCAAAGTCTTCAGAACCAGTGGCGCTCAACTTGATTCATTTCTGTTGCCAGAAAGACTACTTACTCTAAACAGGAGTTCTCACACATAGTGTGTTTGCTACCAAATCAATGTATCATGACATGGTTGTGAGAATCAGATTCATTGCTACGTTTGGGTTCTTGTCCGAAAT